TTGTCTGCGACCATGGTCTCGCCTAGAGGAAGCCACGACCACGTGTCAGAGCAGGGAAGGTGGCCACGGGTCGTATTCGTCACCCGATTGGAGTTCACGAATGGAAGCAAATTTTTGCGAATGCTGTTGTTCGCGAACCGAATTGTTCGTGAACAGAAGCATTCGTGAACCAAGGTATTACTGTACACTCATCATTTCTCTGCCCTAGAAGAGAGAAGCTTCACATAATTTTGAGAGTCTGACTTAATTTTTGAAATCGGTTCATATGCTAACATAAAAGGAAAAGCTCCTGGATCTTAATTGGCATGGTATGTTTATTATTTCAGCTAGAATTTCAAGCATTTTACCAAAACTGTAGAGACCTAAGATTTAAACATAATGGATACTTCCTGTTAAAAAGAAAGGGACAGCTTGGGCAAACCTTCTTCTGACCCTTTGTTGTAGTAATGAAAGATGGTAGAAGGAACTAGTTATTTTCTTCCCCCTTTACAGGTGTTGATCCTATCATTTGGGAACAGGCCAAAGTGGATAATCCAGATTCTGAAAAGTAAGTGGGTTTGCAAGATGACTTTTAAGAAGTACACTGTTGGAGTAATTTGTGAAGAGAACAATACTGCTTTTCAGAGGAGGGATGGAGAAATTGAAGCAGTTGGTTCAGAAGCAGTCACAGTTCCCAAGAGCAATTTCAAAACATTTAGTTGACTCCCTAAAAACACATTAAACTGTCTAGAAAGAGAATGCATGTTTAAACCACCACAATAATGGGATTATTAATAACGGGATTGGGATCCTAATAAAGTTGTGTCACATTCAAAGTGGTTAAGGCTATTGCAAGCACAACTGTCCTTATGTAATATGGCTGTACGGTGGATTAGATTTGATTTGGAAGATGTGTTTTGAAACGCAAGAACATGAACACAATACTGTCTGCGATTCTCAAAACAGACAAAGCTGCTTTAATGAGTTGCAAATTGATGCCATGTTCTCTGTCTTTCATGGACAAAAAATGACAGTCTTGCTGCAAAGTGGCTGCTTTGAAGATTAGTTGCATGGGAGAGGCTGCGTGCATGGCGAATTTAATTCTCTGCAACACATAACTAATGCTTCTTCTCTTTTCTTTTCCATTTTAAATTATCTATTTCCTTATCATCCACAAAGTTTTGTTCTCCATTTGTTTTTCCTTCTCTTCCTAGTGCAGCTAGCCCTTCTTACTCAATCTCCATTTTTCTTCCTTTTGTTCCTGCTAATAAAAATTGTCAATTTTTATAAAGTGAAAACAAAGGATCCTAATTATCTCCATAGGATATCTTGTTTTTTCCTTTATGATATACGAAAGAGTTATTCTTTTAGCCTGCAGCTTTATAGCACTCATTCTAACTATTCCCCCCATGGCACCAACAGTATTTCATTTAAGCCAGTGTCTCTCAACCTCAGTGACTTTTGTGTGGACTCCATCTCCCAGAATTCCCCACCCCCCTCCTTCGCTCTGGGGCATTG